AATCAATCCATCCATCCATCCATGGGGGATTTGGATTTGGATTTGGATGTGTTTGTCTTTTTTTTTTTTTTTTTTTTTTTTGGTTAAAAACCCCTTTCTGGTTTAGCCACGACGGATCATCCCCGTGAAGTAGTTGAAGTCATGGTGCTGGACCCTGAGTTGCTTTAGCCAAGAATCCGCCACGCTCAAAAGAGACACCACTCGCTCTTGGTCCCGCCCATAATTACCAGATATCCACACGCTTCCTTGCATCTTGTATGTCGCTAACCCAAATGCACGCAGCGCCATCTCTTCCCCTTCTTTCCTCTTCCTTTCTCCGCTCTCAAACTCATCTTCTACGTCCATATCTACAAACAAACATCAATCCACATTCAATTTCAAAACCCCATTTTACTTCAAAACCATCCATTTTCATACCTTGAAATGAGGATGAAAGCGTATGGTATGACAGAAAACATGTCGATAAATCCTTTATGGTTCTCCCCATTGGAATATGGTAAATTGGGTACCTGAAAATCAACCCCATCCAGCCCATTAATACACACAAACACTCTAATTTAGACACACACAAACACAGAGGCAAACACAGACCAGGCAACAGCCATCCAACTTGCAGGAGAAAGATCCACGCTTCTCAATGTCATCAGGCCAGGGTATCTTCGAGCCAATTCATTGATCTGAAACCCCATGAAACAAATAGAATCAGAATCAGAATACAGATTAGAGGGTCAAAAAGAGTTTGTTCCACAGCATCCAAAAAGCAGCACCACCACCATTCTCTTTTCTTCTAATGATAATATAATGCAAAGATGAAGAACAGGAACAATCCAGGGAAGTTAAACAAGGAAAGGCAATTTTCACACCTTATCCATTAGTGGGACTCTTCCATATGGAGTTGATCTCTCGAAATACTGAAAGTAAAGGTATCCCAATCTGTCACTGAGAGATAGAGGGCTGTCTTGTTCTAATAGTCCACCTCCCTCTTCCGATGAGCTTCCATCCCATCTCCATAGTTTTTCACTTTCACTCTCATCGCTGCATGAATCACTGAACGAATCCCTTGTTTCACTGTCACCACACTCATCTCTACACACAAAGGGGGAAATTCCTCATTTGGGGTTTTCATAAACAATCGAATGGATCTTGAAAATTTGATAACAGAATCGAATTAGGGTTGGATCAGAATGAAAAGAAAAGGGTAGTACCTGAAACCATTGATGGTGGAGTTGCTGGTGAAGATTTGGATTGCAGAGAGATAAGGAACGTAGTATTGAACAAGGGTCTCGCCGTTGTTGACGGCGATGGGAACGCCAGCGCCGTAGGCGCTCCATTCGTCGTAACAATTCCAGAGATCGGCGAGGGTGAAATATTCAACCCTCTCTCTCTCCCATGGATGCCACAGACGATTCAGATTCCTAATCTCACTCTAAGAAAAAGAAGCAAAGATTGGATCAATAAATCATGAATTGGGAAATGAAGGAAGGAAAGAAAGAAAGCAAGAACAGCGACAAACCTTGGGCAAGAATTGGGAATTGACAAGGGGCGTGGTGCAATGAAGAAAGCAACCCAAATTGGATTGCAGTGCTGACCCTTTGTCAAGAATCATAATCTTGGAAGAGAGGGAGAGAGATGAAATATTCAGAGCCTTCCCCCCAACCCTGCAAAGCAGAGAGGCTTCCCGGAAAGCAAACCGAAGAACAGAGCGCCGGGAAAGAGTAGAGAGACAAAGGGAAGAGGAAGAGGAATAATCGGAGTCTTTTTTTTCCTTTCAAAAGGCTTTTCCGATTGGGAAGAAAATAGGAACCAAAATGGAGATAAACCCACAAACGTGTGAAAGAATTTCTAAGATTAGAAACGGAAACCACCAAATTTCACGGGAAAGTTAGAATCTCTACTCTCTCTGTTTGAGAGTCTTGGCTGTCAATGGCGTCAAAATGCGAAGCCGTTCTGGTTCCCGTCGAGCGAACAGAGAATCGAAACAACTCCCGCAAGTGTAAAGTGCAGGGTTCCCCCTCCTCTGCTTTTAACTAACCCTAAACAAAACACGCCCACTTCCCCCAACAACTCGCACTCCCAAAATCTTTAAACTTCAATCAAGATCACCTCAGATTTCCCCAGAAACACCACGAACAACACACACAAAGCAGAGGAGAAGAAGAAGATATAAATAAAGGCATCACAAATTCCAGATTTTCATTTATGGGATTTAATGGGATTTCCAGAATGCGTATCCGGAAATCAGCATCCAATTAACAAACCCCTTTTCTTTTCTTTTCTTTTTTTTTTTAAATTTATTTTATTATTTTTATCTTTACCTCTTTTGTAAAGTTTAATGGGTCTTTGGTCAGTTTCTTCAACAAAAAGGTGCATATGGTCTTTGAATTTTTCATACCCATTTGAAAATTAAATAAATATATATATAATTTAATTTTGGGTAGTTTCAATTTAAAATACTCATATTTATCTTCTACGATTAAGTAAATATATTTGGATTCCGTTTAGAAAATCTTATTGAATTTTGAATTCAAACTTAGAATTCCAGAACGTAACGAAATTGAATTTAAATTTAAATTATATTCAGATTAACACCTTTTTTCTTTTTCAATTATTAATTTAAAAATTATTATTTTTGGATTATACATAATTAGAGGACTAGAGTTTTTTTCTTTTTTTTTATTGGGATGAAGAGATTAATTTTTTTTACCTAAAAATGTTATATATATATATATATATATATATATATATATATATATATAAAGCAAAGTCATTATGCAATTGTTTTGTGAAAAGGAGTTGAATTTGTTGAATTAAAAAATAAATAAAATGTAAAAGAAGCAAGTTTTTGTTAAAATGCACATTTTAAATTTTATATTTCTCTGATTTATTTTAAGAAGTTATATTTAAAATAGTGATAAACTTTTTTTTTTCTTCAAAAAGTAAACATAGTAGTCTCTTATTTTTTTTTTATTTTGTATCAATTTTGTCTCCCAATTATTTGAGCTATAAATTTTTCGATTTAACCATAAATTTTTTTATGGTTGAATTGATTTAAGTTGTCCGAGTAATTTATTTAAATTTTTCATAAAAATAAAATTTATTATTTATTTTTAAACATTTAGTTAAAATTCATTATATTGAATTGATAGATGCTTTTCTTTAATTATTAAAAATTTAAGGTTTTAAATATTCTTTGGATCCTTGCATTTATTATTTATTTTGATCCATATATTTTCAATAACATTTTAGTCCTTATTTATAAATTTTACACACAATTCACTTGAACAATAAATAAATAAGTAACATTGAAAGGAAGCTCCATTAATATTTTTGAATGAGAATAATAAAATACTATAATTTATTTTCTAATAATGAGAATAATAAATAATATTGATTTTAAGAAGCTTGGTAAGAATATGCTTAATTTAATTGGAATGTCCTTACGTAGACATAAAGTCTTTCTATTCACATAAACAAATTAAACTTTATATTATTTTATCTTTATAAATTTATAAACTTTCTTATATTATATTACAAAAAAAAAATGTTCATATTTAAAAATTATTTGTTTTATAATAAAATTGCAAGTATGGCAATCCCATTAATTGAGGAAAAGTAAATTAAGGCAGGACGAAAAATTACCATTTTGATTTCAAATTAAAAAATATATTAATTTGTTTTTTGAGATATTTTTGTCGGTGCCTAGGAAAAGTATTTATTAAATTATTATAATATATCTATACAAAAAGTCAAAACATTTATTTTCTTTTGTTTCTTTTAAGTGGCACCTGCTTAATTGCGAAACTAAGGCGACAATAATCGAATTATTTAACCTAAAAATGTTACGAAAATCCATGTGTATATATAATAACTTTTTCGAATAAATAAAGGTGTCTATTTAACCTACCCGACTCGATTTAACCTACCCGACGCGATTTCCACCCGAAACAAGAAGCATAGAGGAAGTAGAATGAGTTTTCTATTCATTGACCGGATGGAGACCAATTATTTCTCTATCCCGTCCTCACTTTAATTAAAAAAAAATGTAAAAAATTTAATTTATGTAAAGATAAAAAAATATATATATTATCAAAGTTGTGATGGTTGCTTGTTTGCTTTTGGCTTACAAACATTGACTTCTTTCAAATTGTTTACAGCGCATCAATGTTGTTCACAAAATCCAACATTTATACGGCTGACTTGTTCACTGGATTAGAACAAGTGCTGGAGTGCGATTGTAACATTAGTCATTTTCGACTAATCTAGTCAATCCTTCAAAGTTTAGGGTTTACTAAACCGAGCATATGCTTCCAATGTGTTAATAAAGAGGTTCGAACTTGGAAGGGGCGATCCATTTACAATAGGGTTCTTAAATTTGAATTGAGTAGGGGTTTATAAATTTAGTAATGAAATTGATGAGGGTGTTAATGTATATTAAAAGAGGTTGGATAGGATACAATACATGTGGTTTTAATTAGGTACCCACTCCAAAACATCTACTCCAATCACATATGCATTTGGTCTACATTTCCACTTTATGGTAAAACAAATTTTGGTTACATTAAATTAATTAAAAATAATATATGCTTGTAAGTTAGGCTAATTAACCCCCTTCCTGTCCCTCCCACACTTTCATTTTTTATTTAGTGTCATACCTAAGTTGTCTCTTTCATAATTAAACACATATCCGATTCATTAATTTCCTTCCATAATTTAATATTGTACGGAAAATACTTATCCACCCATATTCTATTATTATATTATATCTAATCCAAATAATGGGTATGATTAAGGTTATAATTTTTTAAAAATTCAAAATTTTGCTCACTTTCGACTTTACTCATAAACTCTGAGACCTCATATCAGTTGGAGAGAGAAACAAAACATTTTTTTATGAAAATGTGGAAATCTCTCAAGTAGACACACTTTAAAATTGTGAAGTTAACGACGATACGTAATTGGCTTAAGCGAACAATATCTGCTAGCGGTGGGCTTGGGTTGTTACAAATCGTATTAAAGCCACATATAGGGCGATGTGCCAGTGAGGACACTGAGCCCTAAGGAGGGTGGATTGTGAGGTCTTATATCAGTTGAAGAGGGAAACAAAACATTTCTTATAAAGGTGTGAAGATCTCTCCCTAGTATACGTGTTTTAAAATCGTGTGGCTGACGACAATACGTAGCGGGGCAAAAGCGAACAATATCGGTTAGAAGTGGGCTTGAGTTTTACAAATGGCATTAGAGATATGCACTAGGCGATGTGTCAGTGAGGACGTTGGGCTCCAAGTGGGTGAATTGTGAGGTTTCATATCGGTTGGAGAGGGAAACAAATTTTTTTCATATAAAGGTGTGAAAACCTCTGCATAGTAAATGTATTTTAAAATTATGTGGCTAACGTCGATACGTAATAGGCCAAAGTAGACAATATCTACTAACGGTGGACTTAGAATTGTTATTAAAATTACCAATATTTTGACATTAAATGTGATTGGTAAGTATTTGATATTTGATTTTGATGAGATATTAATTATTCATGTATTATGGATAAATAATATTTTTTAAATAATAATAGACCGTCCAACCTGAAAATAGAAGGTTAGGTTGAATGGTAATGAAAAAAAAATTATATAGCTTTTTGTTTTTGTTTTTGTTTTTTTTTTTTCCTTCAAATCTTATTATTATTAATAATAAATGAAATAACGTGAGTTTTGTTTTTTATTAATATAATATAAAAAATAAAAATAAAAATCTTTGACCCGCATTCAAAGGCGCCTTGAGAATAAATAAATAAAGAGGAAGGCGGCATAAGATAATTTTCATGCATAAAACAAAAACATTATCCCCTAATATTACGGTATTTATGTTTCGTGTTAAACATAAATTCTTTTGTTACTTTAAACTCCCAACTTAAAGAACATGAAATTTGTATTATTAATGATCATAATAATGTTTTGTAAAATTAATTTCTTTCAAAAAATAAAAATATATAAAAAGAATTAATATATTTATCAGAGATATAATTAAAATTTGTGTCCATTTAAAAAAAAATAAATATTTATTAACCATTTTTTTAAAATTTTAATTCAATAAATATTTTATAGGATAAAACTTAGTCATTTTGTGTATGCCTGCGTTCCATTTTGTCAACCCAATTATCATCCATTATCCTTTTTTTTACTTTTTCTATAGGCAAGAAAAAAAATATTCCAATTTCCAATCCACAAATTTCCTTTTCATCATATCTTAATATTTTTAAATTTTTAAATGCCTTTTTTTAATTTATAAAATTTTACCATTACTGGTTGTAAAATAATTTTTTTTTTTACCATGGTAACAATTTTAACTTTTAAAATAATGTATAATTGTTATAAAAAATGATATAAAGACTTTATATTTGACTAAAACAATCATGTGGATTGAGATTTGATTAGAAAAACTAGGAGTTATTTGTTTTGATATATTTAAGGTTTAATTAATTACAACAATTTCCAAATAATCGTAATAAATACGTTACATAATTGTTTCTATATTTTTTAATAAAAAATTCAACATTTTAATTAAGACATTTATAATCAATATTATCCAATCCAAACTATAAAAGTTAGTTAGGTATTAGATTAACTCTTTTTCGATTTGAGTTTGGTTGAATTTTTTAAAGATTGAAAATTTGGGATGATTGATAGGGTTAGACATATTTTTTAGTTAGGTCAACTCAATCAATCCAAAAATAGATTTACAACTCAACTTTACCCCTAATCTACTTTTAAGATTATTATCAAGATAAAAAATATTTGATATTTATAAGCAGTGATTCGTATGATTTAACCCTACCCAAATTGAAAATAGACGGCTGGGTTGGATTATGAACTCTACTCGAGTTGTTTGGGTCACTAACTCAATCAATCCGAATTTTTGGACTGGTTCAAAAAATTTCTCTAATCTAATCTAACTCAACACCGTTCGTGTTATGTTCTAATTTTAACGGATTCCATTATGTTTTTATGGCATAACCAAGAAGACCATAGAGAAGGGGAAGGATTAGGAAAAGAAGAAACAAGGCTGATGAAAGTGAAGGTGGAAATTATGGAGAAAGTCAAATATGGATTGTGCCTAACAAAGTGGTCCTGGTCAATTATTAGACTATATTCTATTATTATTTAATTTCTTTAATTTCTGTTTATTTAACGTTGTTTTTTTTTTAACCTAATTCTAAAAATAAAATTATATTATATTTTCAAAATTTAAAACATTTCTTAATCGTACAAAATGATATTTATTATTATATTAGATGAGTGTGATATGTCTTTTAATTTAAATATTTTTATAAAAAAAAATCCCATTTTTTTAGTTATATTTTCTTTTCATTTTTCTTAATTGAATTTATTTAATTTTTTGAACATCTTTAAAACCTTGATATCTTTTTAAATCAATCATTTTTAAGAAAGTATTAATTAGTTAAAAATCTCTAATGATTTATACTTTGATTATTATTTAAATTTATAATATAAACCAATTTGTTTGATATTTTATATTTATATTTTTATATAAAAAAAAATATGGGCACGGCACATTTTAATTCTGCTGGTCCAAATTAATTTTAAATGTCAGAATTAAAAATTGACCATATCTTTGTATTTTCTGTCTTTTTCTTATATAAATATTTTATGAAATTGAATGTGATTAATACATTATTAAAATTAGACACGTTTTGTATAATGTAAACAATCTGTCACTCGTGTATTAAGACTTCAGGTAATTAACAAAACACCAAACAATGGGCTTGCATCAAAAAATGGGCCCAACTCAATATTTCGAGCATAATCATTAAAACTTTTTTATTTATATAACATTTTCAGTATGGATAAAACTATGGGTGTTTCTTAATTGGATTGGTCGGGTCGAGATATATTTAAAATCAAACATCACGGATCGAGTTGTTAATTTTTTTAATCTAAATAATGATGAATCCAACTCCTAAAAATAAAATATTTAGTTATTTTCGAAGCTTGATTTAGATTTGTCATCAATTTCAATATATATTTTGATAATTACATTTAAAAAAAAATTATTTTAAAGAGGTGTAGGAAATTAAATAAATAAATAATAATTATAGAAATAAATAATATCTAAATGGTATCCTGAGCAAAAATACATATATGAAATATAGAAGAAATTTAAAAGAAAAAATAAATTGAGGTCATTTGAATATTTTTATCTTATAAATTAATTGAATAGCCATCATTTAGAGACCGACTATTACAGAAAGGCCGATGACAATATGGATGGAAGAATGGGCTTACCTTGTTAATAGGGCCCAATAAAACTGATCAGGTTTAAACTAATGGGCTTCTCTTGTTAATGAGCCCAGTAAAATAAATGGGCTGAAAGAAACATGCTTAAACTAATGGGCTGGTCTTTTTAATATGCCCCAAAAATGTATGGGCTGACAAGAAACAGGCTTAAACTAATGGGCTGACATTGTTAATAGGGCCTAATAAAACTAATGGGCTGACTGACAAGAAACGGGCTTGAACTAATGGGCTGACATTGTTAATAGGCCTGATAAAACTAATGGGCTGACGATAAACGGGCTTGAACTAATGGGCTGATATTGTTAATAGGCCTAATAAAACTAATGGGCTGACGATAAACGGGCTTGAACTAATGGGC